GGGGGGGATGGGGGGTGCACACACGGGGTTACAAGCACCCGTTTTTTTGCCTACCGAGAGATACACGGATACGAGGCTCACGACAAGTTGCGAATCATCAACACCGTACGCACGCACCCAACGTTAGCGACGACCGAGAGCGCAGAGCCTGTCCAACCGGGACCTTGCCCGCCCCCCGCCGCCCCGTTGCACAAGCTCTCATCCGAGCTAGCCCCGAAGCTTACGCTCCTCCGCTGACCCTGACGGATGCCACCACCGCCGCCCCCCAGCCCATCCACGCTCGTCCCGCCCCCGCCCCCGCCCCCGTGGACGTACATGTCGTCGGCCCCCCCCAAGGTAAAACGCCTCCTGACGAACCCCGATTCGTCCGGGGGGGTTGTGCTCGGGGTGGAGGAGAGGGCTGGGCTTACGGGCGTGCCGCCAGCTCCCGCCATGGACGGGCTGAACGTGTCCCCCCATGCGGCGGAGGCGTTGTTGTTGTTGCCACCGCAACCGCCCGGGACCCTGGCCGGTAGGAGAGCCTTGGCGGCTCTTAGGCCTCGCGGGGTTCCCTCTAGGAACACCTGTTGGGAGCGTGTACAAAGGGTAGGGTTAGCATATGGTCGTGTACAAAGGGTTAAGTAGCACATGGCCGCCTACCAAGGGTTAGCATAGCGTCGTTTACAAAGGGTTGGCATTGTATGGTGTTGAGGGGAAGTCTCTCTCCACTGTGCGCGTGAGAGCGGGCCTGGGTGCGCGGAGACGTTTAAAAAGTTCGCTGTGCACACAAGGGTTAGCCACGTCGTGTACCAAGGGTCAACAATGTATGGTGGTGAGGGCATTGAGTTGTGGCCACTGAGCGCGTGAGAGCGGTCCTTTGTGCGCGGAGACGTTTAAAAAGTTCGCTGTGAGCATGAGGGTTTGTTTTGTACTAACGGTTGGCATTGTATGATGTTGAGGGAATTGAGTCGCTTCTGGCGTGAGAGAGCGGCCCTTTCTTTACCTACAGAGGCGGGTACAAGACTTCCTGGGTGCGGTCACCCATTGCAGAGCATTAAGTGCCGTTCGCCCCGAAAAAGCACACGACCATAACCCCAATCACATCCTGGTTGTTGAGAATCTCAAAGCGTTTTTCCTCCTACCCCTTCCTCGTTTCGACAGGCCAATATCACAATATCACAAGCAGTGTCTCCTATCTCCAACGGCAAGGACAAAAGGTACCCAGCGACTACACGCACAGACAGCAGTCATATGCATACGGCACCAGCAACAGCACATCACACATCCAAACAGGCTTCACCTAAAGGCTCAACATTATTTTGACCCTGCAAACCACCGGCGACGCCCCCGACAGCTGCTGTTACCCGCAACACACACCTGAAACACGTAGTGCCGGCTTAGTATGGGGTGCTGAGCCACCCTGGTCATGTATCTCTGCAGGCCCTTCATGCGCTCAGCTACGAAGTCTCGGCTGCTGCTGCCCGCCCACTTGGATGGAGGCAGCGGTGGCACCAACACGCCCGGGATGGCTTGGAAGCAGCTGTGGAGCCAGCGGAAGTCGCTGAACCTGGTGCGGGCAATTTATCGAGGAGCGACAAGCGTGCGTGCATGTGGGAGGGTGTGTGTGGTACTCGTGTGGTAAACGCATGCCGTAGTCGCTAGACCATGAACCTACAATGCCGAGGCGGAGCGAATTCTCCGGCCCAGGCTACGTGTTGACGAGGATTACCAGAAGCTGGTCACCATCCATGCCTGCTGCGCTAAAGCAACGGGGGGGGTTAACCTGATATGCTTGGATAGGAGCGGAATTTCCCATTGCCACAAGAGAGACGAAACAAGGCTGTCGTACCTACCTCCGTCCAAACCCAACCCTACCCCACCTCCCCCGCATGTGCTCGACTTCCCGACGCGACGCGTGGCGGGCGGATGGCTGCTGTGGCTGCTGTCGTCGTCGTCCTCTTCTTACTTCTGACAACAAATGGGCATCGAAAAAAAAAAGAAAAGAAGGCGTACACGCATAAAAATGACACCCCACGACACAGCGCGCGTGCTCCTTCCTGACGACGGAGACCCCGCACGCACCTCCTCGCCACCTCCATCTCCCTCCTCGCAAACCCAGGCAGGGACGCGTTCGCCAGCACGGTGTACTCGGTATGGCTACCGTACCCCTCCCCAACAACCCGGTGGCTGTACACGGTGACCTCCAGCTGCCCCCCCTCCTCGCCCCCCCCCGCCGCCGCGGGGCCCCCTTCCTCCCGCCACCCGGACTGTTCCGAAGCGCCGGCCCCCCCTCGTTGTCCACCACGCGAGCCGGGGACGTCGGCCGTTCGTCCCCCCTTCCCTGACATCCCTCTGGGGTGCTTGTTCGCCCCTGTTGTTCCTACTCCAGCCGGGCACGCCTCCGCCGCCGCCTCCGCAATCATCGTCGGCACGGCCGCCGCCACCGCCGCCACCACAGGCGGGGGGGGCGGGGTACCCCCGTCCAGGAAGAAGTCAGGGATCGGCCGCAGCAGTCGCCCCGCGTTACTGCTGCCACTGCTGCTGCTCTGCTGCTGGAACGCCTGCGGAGGCGGCGGCGGCGCGCTCGCGGACGACACGACGTCGCAGGTGTTTAGCAGGTCGCGCAGGGTGCACGGCCGTCCGGCCTGCGCTAGCGCCACCAGCGCCACAAGCACGAACCACTGCGGACGCGCCAGGCACTCGTCCGGGCTGCTCGGGCACAAAACAGGGCAAGACCGAAATAGGTCGCGATCGATCGTGGGGAGGGGGTGGCGGCGGGGAGGGCGGCGGGGTCGTACTCTCATGTTTTACATGCCTTAGCGCCGGCTAGACCATTGACCACGCGTTCTCGAGAGGACGGAGCATAGGAGCATTGAGGGCGGCGGGGGTATAGTTGCTGGGCAGTGGGCAGGAGGGGGGGAAATGCTCGTTTGCCGGCGAAAGGGTTGCTTGGAGGCAACACCCTGTCGCTGAAGCTCATCCCAAACATAACTTCGGGAAAACCGGCTTTGAGCACTACCGACACGTATCCACCGGGGACAGCAAGAAAACGAACATAATAAGGTACAAGCTCGACACCAAGCCAAATCGGAAGCATCCTCGTCCCTCGTTCACGCAGACGGGACTGTTTTCGTCAGGTGGGAAACGAAGGTTTTGACGCCTGTGGAGACGCTTTCACCAGTATACGATCTCAGCGGTCAGGCCGAGGAACGAACAAAAAAACGTTACCACCCTCCCCGCCCATGCCAAGAGGCGCTTAAAGGGAGAGAATCTACTGTCGTCATGTACGTTGATACCATTGGTTCAAGCTTTTATCCACGTAAAAATGTTTGGACATACATAAAATTTGTGCACTGCACGTAGGGGCTTCGAAGTAACTACTTCAGTTAGCGTCTAGCCTTTACACAACGCGAGGCCTTTGTCGCAACCCAGATGCATTACGTGAGGAAACGCTACATACATGTAGAACAATCCCCCCCCCCGAAATACGCATGGCTGTTCACGAAACCCAACAAAAACACGCACACACGAAACGATTGAAGGATTCCTGGGAATATCTCAATGTGAGTGAAAACGATTGGGAGACGCAGGTTCGGTCGAAACATGCAAGTAGCTTCAGCCGACGAACACAATGTTGAGGTCTACACCAGCGCAAGCAGCGAGACACGTCAATACGAGGGCTCATCTCTACAGCAGCAACGCAAGTGGTTGGGGAAGGGTGATACACGAAATATTGTCAGCTCCAGTTCGTCGGCCAACTGAAGCAGCAACGACAACGACAACACGACATGCATCAACAACGACAACAAGCGGCAGCAAGCAGCACCAACCAACAACAGCAAACAATAAATCAAATCAGTCCCAGCACAACTGACTCAGGAAACGAAAACAAAACACAACGAGCCGCACACCTTTCCCCCCCGGCCTCCGCCCACAGGCGTTGCAGCGTGGACTGCGGCAAGCGCGAGCGGCCGAGGAGAGCGTGCCCGCCATCGTTCCCGCCGACTAGACCATCATCGTCCGTGTCCGCTAGGTCAAAGAGGTACCCGAAGATTACCGTCTCCCGAGGGGTGAAGTATAGGCTCCGCCCCTGAGTAGGGAGTTCCATATGAGACGAGGGAGGGGGAAGGGTACTCAAGCTTAGCGGTCAGCGGGGCGGGGGGGGGGGGGGGGGGGGGGGGNGGAGGGGGGGGGGGGGGGGGCGTACTCTTCTGTTTTGCATGCCTTAGCGGTTAGACCATTGAACACGCGTCCTCGAGAGGACGGAGCATTGTTCCCACAGGACCGATATCCGATGGTCAGCAGGGGGGGGGGTACTCATAGCCGTGCGTGCCGTAACTGTTAGACCATTGATCTCGCATCTCTACAAAACCGGGACGGAGAGGGGGGAGGTTCGTTATGGGCAGAGCCACACACATCCAGGTTTGGAGAAGAACAGCGCAGACGGGGGAGTTCGGTGTTCTCCCCAAGAATATCGACCGAACGGCTTCTGTTGCTATCGTTGTTGCGAGGTCTGTGTCGTAACCGTGAGCCTGTTGGATACAGTACATGACTTCCTCAACGAGGCATGCTTCGCTGATGGCAACGGGCGCAGACACCCCCCCCCCTCCCCACACGCAGAATCGACAAAGGTTACATTTGCGCTACTCTGGAAAGATTGTCCGCCAAAAGGTGAAGAGCAAGAGCGCTACGAAACACGTTCTGGTCGCAGACCATGTTGTGTTTTTTCTCATCAACCTCAAGCCGGGCTGCACGTATGTTTGTCCAAGAGCAGAGACCCACGCCCTCCTGTACGATGCAGCCTTCGGGTCTGATCGCGTCAGCAACATTTATCCGAGACTACGTTTGTGCCGAAGAAAGAGAATAAAGTCGTTGTGTTGCTGCAAAAAGAAAAAGCGACAGACAAGGAAAAAAACATGCTGTCCCGCGAATGCCATATTGAGCCGCTTTTTGGGCCAGCTCTCGTCCTTTATTACCAGTAGCAATGGGACTGGCGCGTAGATTTCGTAGATTCGGCTCTTTCGTGGCGACTCTCCGTCGTCAGTTAGCGCCAAAATCAGCGGACGGAACAAACGCCCAGACGAAATATTTCAGGGGGTAACTTTGGCATGGGCGCCTGTGGTAACCTTATAAACCCCGCCAGCATGGTCGTAGTATATGCATATCATACTCCTCGGGGTAGTAGTACTGCAGGTGAAGGAGGATATCACCCCCCCCTGGACTGATTTTCAAAGCTCGACTAGATAGCTCCATAACGAAGAGTCCAACGCGATAGATACGTTTTCGGGAAGCTGCACAACCATGAGACGACGCCTTGCGGCACCGCCACCCCTTAGGAATCGAGCTTCGAAAACCAGTCCGAGGGGTGCGTGATATCTTGTGTCACCGACAATACGGCGGTATACAAGGGCGTGTTCCGACGGCGGGACGGTGGACTTGACTTGGGGGGGGGCTGCCCACAGGCCGCTCGCCCGAGCGGCGAAAGGGAACAAAAACGGCGGCGCGATCGACTGCTGTAGGGACGACGACGCGACCGAACCCGATTCGGACCGCGACCAAACCGGATTACGCTTTTTCTTAACCCAGGAACCCCCCCCCCAAAAAAAAATGGGCGTGGTAGTATATGTGCAGAGACTAGGTGCTGCAACATGACGCACATGTACTACATGCACACGCAGTTTGACATGGAATATAAAGCAGTGCCTGTTTTCTGGGCAACAGCCGAAGGAACCAACTATACGAGAAACACCATATGCTGCGGTGAGCCAGCCTCTGTGAGTACATGTTTTTACCCTCCCATGCGGCTACGCTTAGTTTGAGCGGGCCGGCCTCCCAGGACTGACGCGCGTGGCCCGCAGGCGAACAAACAGCGTAGAGACGCCGAACTTTCAAGTACTCAGCAAAAGGTCCTGCTGTCTGCAGTCAGACTTGAAGTCTGCCGTGTGTCGCGACGCGGGGCGTCTTTGCCCTGCATCCCGAACGATAATGTCAGTCGCGGCCAAAAACCAACAACACCATTTTTCGCGGATAGGAAAATCGCGGGACACGACTCGATGTTATCCGTGTAATCCCTTCCTCAGAACGGACCGCATGGTTGCTTTCCTCCCGGCCCCTTTCCTCTCTCACGTCGCAATATTCCGCGAGGAGCTCTCAATATTTTTTCGAGGTGCACCCGCGAAAAAGAGCCATTCCAGAACTATGTACAACAGCAGTTGTTAGCCCGGTGTGTGTAATCAGCTGGTTGGTGTAATCACATCATTTTATTTACTTTTTCTGTTTGAAGAAAGCCTAACAACCTGCTCTTTTCGTTCCAGTGAACTCGCTCCGGAGGGAACGCCGGAGAGCTCCCGGTTTAAAATGGCCTAGTAATCACGGTTCAACGATGAATGTTAATGTTTTTATCCAATGAACGACAAGCCAAGAGACATCGGGTAGAGGTGTTGAGGACGAAACGTAGATCTTGCATACAGGAACAAGTTGATTTTTTGTCGAAGAGAGCATACGACCAGCAAGCAGCACACAGGACTTCCCAGAAAAATGGAAAAGACGCCCCACGATGTCAGCATCCCGAAACTGAACTACTTGAGCGTCTCGTTCCTTCGTAGCACCTAGCTTGCCGCGCCGTGGCAGCAGCGTCCGCACTGCGGCGGCTAAACGTGTACGAAGCAGCAGCAGCAACAAGCTGGTATTTTCGTCTCTGCTGCTCGAATTCCAAGAAATCGAAAAGGTTGCTGTTAGCGTCAACCCCGACAGAGGCGGGCTCACACCGCCCGTCAAAGCACGACAGCCTCCTACGACCGGCCTTCGATCCAGCTAACTGCAGGCTGGTGCAGCAGCGTCGTCGCAGCTACGTAAAGACCGGCCTCGCTGCGGTGTAGCTGCCTCTCCGATCGTAGTTGTAGTTGGGTGTGCTTCAGGAAAAATCTCACCTCGGTCACCTCGAGAAAAAGCCCCCCCCCTGTCTTGTTGGACGAGTTTTGCGGCCATTCCATCCAGCTTTTTCGCGCCTCTTGTTTGTGCTGCTGTCCGTGGGACTCTCTCGACGATTGTCTCGGTCCCTTTCTCTACGTTGCTTTAGCCTTTCTTCCTCAATCTCGTCGTGCAACTCTGCTAAGACGTGAACGTACACGTGTACGAAAATGAAAACATCCGCCTGAGGTGAGGGGAGGGATTAGGGGACAGGTAAGACATCCTTCCTTGCATTTTTGAGGTTGGAGGAGGTACCTGTCCCCCCCCCCCCAGATCTAAGGATCTCTTAAGAAAACACACAATCGCCCGCGACATACCTCTCTCACTTCATTGTCGTACTGGCAAGGGAGTAATGGTGCTACGCTTCTTTTTTAACAGGATGTTCTTCTGTCTGCTGCCCAAATAAAAACGGCGGCGTGTGGTTGTCGCTGTCATGTGCAGCATATGACGGTGAATATCATGCACCCTTTTTGAGCATCCTCAAATTTCGAAGCTCCGCTCTACCACATACACATACCGTAAACTACGGAGTTTCCCCCCCCTAGTACAGATCCCCCCCCCCCCCATTACCTTTTCGGCCTGAAAGCATGGTTGCGTTGATTTAGCCCCGGGGTAGATCGTTTTCGACCAATAAAGAAAAAAGATCCCCCGGGTATTTCAATTTCCCCCCGGGGTACCAGTTTCCCACAAGTTCCCCCCGGGGAGGATGTATTTCCCTTATTTTCTGAGTCGATTTTAATGCAGCGCGGAGCACAAAAAGCATGATATGGGACGGAAAAATCATTTGCAGATCTGCGCTTCGAGCGAGACTTAGGTGTACCGTTTGTCACTTGGCCCTCGCCGTTGTTTTATGGGTGAAATGCTTTCGTTTTCTTGTCTATTTCTTGCACTTATCATCCCTGGTGTCAGCTGAGACGTACCATAGCATTCTGACGAAACCTTGTGAACAAAGGGGAAAAATAATCGTTTTCATTTCGTTTTCATTTTTGGATCTCACAGCTCAAGGTAAAACCAAACCATAAAAATAGCTTATTCCTGCGGACAAACTGCGAATTCTTGTGCATGCGCTTAGGCAATGGTACCTCTTGCTGTCTTTTTTCTCTTCGCCTTCGTTGCCTCTACCTTCCTCCTCTCTCTGCTTGTTGAACGCTTGCTCGTGAACCTTATCCATCTCAGTTTCGTCACTCTCTTTCTGTGTGTATGGTGACCATCATTATTTTGCACAAACCCCCGGGGTAGCGTTGGAAAGAAAAAAAATACCCCCCCGCGGTACGTCGAGAGGAGAGGACGGTAGCTGTACTGGGGAGTAGGAAGTGGTTTGAAAAGGCGGGAAGGGATATCGTTAGGATAGACAGACTAGGGAAGACATTTTTGAGCCACCTTTGGCAAAGTAGGAAGGAACGATTGGCCATCGGTGATCGGTCCTGTGGGAACAATGCTCCGTCCTCTCGAGGACGCGTGGTCAATGGTCTAACCGCTAAGGCATGCAAAACATAAAAGTACCCCCCCCCCCCCCCCGCGGTACGTCAATCCCGGGGGGGTCGGTTTCAGAACAAAAAAGCGATCCCCTCCCCGGGGGGAAAACTCCGTAGTTTACAGTAATACACATCCCTTTCGACTGAGGTTATATCTCGAACGGGTAGTTCACTTTCTAAAAATACTACCCACACAGTAGCGCCACCCACCTGCCAACCGAATGATGGGCACTCAGAAATTTTATGTAGCATAAACGAAACGCAGCCTCATTTTTTGGCAGCGGCATCTCTATTTCTTCTCATGCGGAGCAATCGAATTTTTAAAGGAAACAAAAATCGGACCCAAAACCAAAGGCGAGATCTTAATCTATCGTGGTATATTGAAGTAGTTTGAAGGCAGCTTGCTCGCCAATGTTTTTCGTGTTTTCATTTTGTTCGGATGAACGGAGTGTTTTCACGCGTCGCGGGATATTCAGCCCAACAAAGCCCGATGCGATTGGTATCTTGAAGTTGTCGGCCACACGAGAAAAGTGCTAGGAAACCCGACTCGACCCTTGGGGGAGCACGCGTATGTCCCCATCCATGTTCCTTTGGCCATGCGCGCTGCACCCCAGTTAGCCGGAGCTAATGTGCTAGCTCTCCGTAGAGAGGACGCTCAACAGCGCACAATATACTGGTTACAACTTTCCTCTCAAGGGTGAAGTAGCAACAACGTAGGGGAGCGGGAAGAAATACACTTATCGTTTCACGACCAAATGCTGGTTTCACACTGAGCGTGGTGTGCCGTACGGCATGCAGGGACGCGCCGTCACTGCTGCTGTCATCCAACATACACAGCTAGCTCTTGGTGTTTCCGGTACAAGTAATCTGGCACAGTAGTTCCGCCAGCAAAAGACACAATTTACGCGGCCAACCTTGGACCAGAACAGGAAAAAACACAACACCCACGCCAAAACAAAAAACGTTCAATATTCATCCGCTCCTCGATCATGGCTAACATTGACGTCCGTGCTCGAGAACAAAATCAGCGAATATGCCGTGCCGTCATACAGAACAAAATAACAACGGGAAAACACACAACAACCAGTGACATCATCACAACACGAAACTACTGTACCAAGAAACTAACGCTCTCCGAGGAAACTAGTACGATTTGCGTCCGTCCTTCCGCGATGTACCGCGGCAGCACAACACGCGCCATCAGAAGATGCCCCAGTGGTTCTCGATGCCGCCGAACAGTCTCGATATTGCCGCAGCGCCGCTCAACTGTCCACGACGGCAAGGGGTATTGTGCATGCACTGAGACTTGGGGGGTGAGAACGAACTGCAGGCGGGTCTGCGGAGGTGGGGGGCATGCACGCACCCATTTATGCTTGCCTGACTACTAAACCTCCCCTTTCAAATGGCGCAACGGCAGTCCCTCGTATGACCTGCTCTTGAAGTCGTTGGGACGTTCGATGCGATGCGTTTCATCAAAAAGACTAGGTAGGTGCCGATACAAAGTGCAATTATTGAGAGTATGCCCAGAGGAGATGGGCGCGCGGGTGGTGGTGGAAGACATGAGGACAAGGGTGCAAACCCCACAGAAAATAACCGTTGCACTCCAACATACTCGCTCTGAAAACGTGAACGACAGGTTGTCGCTACAATATGCCGCCGCCGCCGACTGCGCAACAGGCATGGCACCGGCGCACACCCTGTTCTCCCGCATATTTTCACTTACCGGATACTCCGAAATAGCGATCATCTCCTCAATCTGTCGAGGGACCGAAACGCGGCACGTTTAGCACCACCCAAGAGAGACAGGCAGGGGGGGGACGATCGAGCTTAGCGCAAAACATTCTGCAGCGTCGGGTTTTCACACGGCAACGGTTTCCCGGGAAAACTCTAACAGCATCTGCTAGATGACACTGTCAAAAATCTGTCTACGCGACGGCGACTGCTTTTCGTGTCCTAAAATCTCGCGAGGATTTACTGCCAACGTTGTATTGTCAATCTACAGTAGGACCGATAATGTGTGAATACAACGGCATCGTCCAAGCTGACTGCGTGCTGTCGTGTACAAGGAGTAAAAAGGTATAACCGACGGGTGGTGCCAGCGTGCTAGCCAGAGAACTAAAATAACTGCTGGTGGTGTTGCTGCACTGCTGTGTGTTGCTTTTTGCCCCTGTAAGACTAGTGCCTTTTGAATGGTCAGCCGGTTGGTGCGGTCGATGCAAAATTCAACAAAACACACACCCCGTTTGTAAGACTGGCGCCTTTCATTGGTCAACCGGTTAGCTCGGTCGATGCAAACAAATTCAAGAAACGGACTGCCTAGGCAAAACGTAAGTATATTATAAAAAAGATAGGCAGGCCGGAACGCAGACCCTAACCCCAACCCTAGCTCACGCTATTCTATACTGTATCCAATATGTTTGCTTACGTAGAAAAGCCATAAACCTAACCCCAAACCCAACCCCAACATAGCCTATCCTATACTGTATCCAATATGTTTGCTTGCTTAGAAAAACCATAAACCTAACCCCAAACCCAACCCCAACATAGCCTATTCTATACTGTATCCAATATGTTTGCTTGCTTAGAAAAACCATAAACCTAACCCCAAACCCAACCCCAACATGGCCTATTCTATACTGTATCCAGTATGTTTGCTTGCTTAGAAAAGCCGTAAACCTAACCCCAAACCCAACCCCAACATGGCCTATTCTATACTGTATCCAGTATGTTTGCTTACGTAGAAAAGCCGTAAACCTAACCCCAAACCCAACCCCAACATGGCCTATTCTATACTGTATCCAATATATTTGCTTGCTTAGAAAAACCGCGTAGACTACTGCAAGAGGCACACACACACACACACACACCTCGGGGTTCTCGTCCTTGGTGAGATGCCCCGAAGCCATCGCTCCGATGTAGAAGACGATCGGAGCGTCGTCCGGGAGGGTTGCCGCGAAGTGGTTCGGGTTGTAGAGGGTACCCTCCACGGAGAGACCTGCACAGGCAGCAGCAGCAGCGGTCGGTCGACGGGGACGCACCACCCGAGAGGGACAACGAACGGACGGAAAAAAACAAGCAAAAAGTTAGATATTTTCCTGCCCCGAGGTATTTCCTCGGCCTTTGTACACCGAAACGTACACCAAAGGGTGACCTCCGGAGTGGGCTCCTGAAGCCACAGACAAGTGTCAGAGAGATGGCGCCCCCCCCTAGACAGACGTTCAAAGCTCGATTGCTCCACAACCATGTGGGTGCGGAAAGAGCCCGACAGGTCTACGGAAACCCTCCACGTGATGTTTCCAAAACCACCATTTTCTTGGTGTTGGCAAAAAGCTTGGTCGTGAAGCTATCCAGCGTAGAAAGTCCGTCTAGGGGAGAGGAATCTCTTACGGTCTCTCGGCGACGGGGGCGACGTTGGTTGGGGGGGGGGGGGGGGGG